GCTTTTCCGAAAATGCTTTTAACGGAAAACTTTTTCGTTAAAAGCATTTTCGGAAAATCATGCCAGTGTAGATGTAGCCCTGGGGTATGCTAGAGAAGGCAATGTGTGTGGGAGGGGGAAGGAGGGAGTGGAGAGACATGCCTTTCTTGTAGATCGGGTGGTGGAGATTGTGATGGTTTTTAGGTTCTGGAGCAACCCTCTACCACAGTAGGCCACAGGCCGGGGGCTGATCCCAGATACTAATTAACAGGTTCCCAGTAAGCATCACTCAATAACACATTCATATCCCTATTTGCTAATTGCTTTTAGTGCTTTTTAATGGGTCGTGGCTAACTTAGCTACGTAATACATGTGTGTTTTGTCAGATGGCATTTTGAATGTAGCAGGGCTCCATGCTTCTTTATACTTAGTAAATGCAAACGTTGTTGTCATGTGTAGTGTATAATGTCCTTAGCATTTATATGATGGGGTTGGTAAATGATATGCTAGGTAACTACACTGCTGTGACTTATTATTTTTTGCTTTTTTTTGAGAGAATCTAGCTTTTTTGTTTCTATCCAAATATCTTTTCATACATAACAGTAACTAGAAATTGGGATCCAAATATAATATGGAATGGAAAATTTGTCACTAATACAGATCTGTTAAAATATAAAGGAGGAAGAGTTAATATTGCTTAGTAATGTGACTATAATCATGCAGTGTTTCTTTCCTTATCAGATGTGTACGACTAGCCCTGGTTCACGATATGGCGGAATGCATTGTTGGAGACATAGCACCTGCAGATAACATCTCCAAAGCGGAGAAACATCAGCGAGAGGAGGTTCGTATGGTTGCAGATTCAGTCTGTTGCTCTGTAGAACTTTGTAAAGGCATTGCACTTTATTTGTAGAAGTGAACAATTAGTTATTTACATAACACCAAAGTGCACAATAATAAGAGAAAATATTTTGAAAGAACCCAAACATCAACCACCTGCCAAAGAGTTGACTTTCAGTAGTCTGAGAGATTAATGAATCTGCTTGTGTTTGTCCATGCTTATTTTCTGGGCCACAAGTCAGGAGAGGGACAGATAGTTAATACTAGACCTGTGGCTTTCAAATATTTGGATTTGCTTTCACATAGCAAACCTCTTAATGCGACTCCCCTTTATGTTAAAAACAAAGGATGTTACATTAATGTAATGGGGTCTTGAGGCTGTAAGCCTTATGTAGCTGGCAGTTTATGACCCACATTTAACCACCTTGTGACCCCTTGAGAGGTCATGATCCCCAGTTTGAGTATTCCTGCACTAGACCTTCCAAAGTACATGCAAACTTTGTCTGATTATCTGTTTATTCTTACAGTAACCCCTGTGTGGCAGGTAATCAGTGAGCTGACAAACCAATGTAACTGAGTACAATATCAGGGGTGGGGAACCTCTTTTGCATTGGGGAACCTCTTTTGCGTTGAGGGCCACTGACCCACAGAAAAATCAGTTGGAGGCTGCATACAAATGGGAAGCATAAAAATAAAAAACCCCACCAAAAACAAACAAACAAACAAACAAACAAAAGCAAAAAACTCCAAGAGCCTTCACTGACATGACCCCAGACTTGGAAGCAGAAAGCTATTCTCCACATTCCCCTCACACACCAGAGCCTAGGCGTCCCAGCCTAGTAGATTGTATGCGCATAACCTCTATGGCCCAGCAGTGGGGGGAGGAGGGTGCCCTGAGTCTCAGGGGCTGGATTCAATCAAGCTGGGCCTGAGTTTTCCCCACCTCTTAAGTACATCGTTTTTGGCTTAAATAATGGCTACAAATCCTGAATTTCCCCACCCCTTAAGTACATCGTTTTTGGCTTAAATAATGGCTACAAATACATCATTAATCTCCATTAATGTCATTCTGGCTGTATTATTTGAAGGAAAAAGGCAAAGTTTTCCTACAGTCACCGCTGGAGGGCACCAACTTTCTTGATAATCTTTTTCCAAGGGATACAGCGATTTCTCTGTCATTCTTATGCTTACTTTTTTGTTTTGATTTAAAAGCATTAATTCTAGCAATATGTTGCTGGTGGAAAGTAGGTCATAAAGATTAGAGGACTATTCACTGTAACGTTGACTGTTCTGTTCTCTGTTCACCTGTTTGGAGTGTGCTGTTTTAAAAGAAAATTGTTTCCCTAATGCAGGGGTGGGCAATAATTTTAGACAAGGGGCCACTTCACTAATTTTTGAAGTGGCCCCAAACCACCCTGGCTGGGGCAGGGGCAAGATACTTCTGTTTTCCCCATCCCACAGACCCTGATTGGCCTGGGGGAGCACATGAAGTCTTTGCCTCTGCCCTCCCCCTTCCTAGAGAGAACTGCTAACTGTTCTAAACAGCTGGTGGTTCCCTCTAGGCATCCGCCACCATGGAAGGCATGAGGAGAGTTGGCGTGTGCCCCCTTCCCCCAGGCCAATCAGGGTCTGGGGGCCGGAGGAGTGCATGAAGGCCCTTGCCCCCGCCCTGCAAGGGGTGTGCGGCACTTGCAGGGCAGGGGGAAGGAGCGAAAGACTTTGTGTGATCCTCCTGCCCCATGGCCCTTGATTGGTTTGGGGTGGGGGAGTGGCAGAGCACCTGTGGGCTGGACCCACCTGGTTGACAGGCTGAATCTGGCCTGCATAGGCCCCTTTGGCCACCCCTGCCCTAATACCTGCTAGGAATGTTTTTCCACTAAGGGCCAGATTTCTTAATGACATTTAGGTGCTTAAAAATATAGGTAGATTCCTGATACTAGTTTCAAAGGAGCTAGGAAGCTGTCTGCATCTTTAGGACACTAATTACCTCTACAGATCTGGCTCTAGGGGTCTGTTGCTTCTCCTGGTCCCATTAAAACAAAAAGGAAGATAGACATTGCTTTATAGGGGAGCAAGATTGAGCCCCAAATATTAATACTTCTGAAGTGCTATGTTTGTTTAATATAACATCTTGACTACGTCTAGACTACATCTCTTTTTCGTAAAAGGGATGTAAATTAGACGTATCGCAATTGCTAATGAAGCAGGGATTTAAATCTCCCCCGCTTCATTAGCATAAAAATGGCTGCCGCTTTTTTTCGGCACGGAGCTTTGCCGGAAAAAAGCGCCAGTCTAGAAGCTGATCTTGCGGAAAATGAAGCCTTTTTCGAAAGATCCCTTATTTCATAGAGGGATAAGGGATCTTTCGGAGAAGGCTTTATTTTCCGCCAGATCAGTGTCTAGACTGGTGCTTTTTTCTGGCAAAGCTCCGTGCTGAAAAAAAGCGGCAGCCATTTTTATGCTAATGAAGCGGGGGAGATTTAAATCCCTGCTTCATTAGCAAGTGCGATATGTCTAATTTACATCCCTTTTACGAAATAGGGATGTAGTCTAGACGTAGCCCTTGAGTGGCAAGTTTAGATACAATTGTATATTGGCATAAAACTTGTCTTGCTTTTATTGTTGTTTGTTTCCACACTCGGTCCTAAGTATTGCTTGGGAAATAGAGTATAATGGGAATGAAATTGATTAGTTAGATAAACATGCAATCAGTTTTGTTATTCCATCAAAACAGTGTTAAACAGCATCTTAGTTTGGGAGCAGTGTCTGATTAAGCACCCTATTTAAAAAGTTCATTTATCCCAGAATGCATTATCTTAAGGGTACATTGTTGCCTGACTGCAGAAGCTCATTACTTTTCTTCTCATTTTCCTGAGTGAGTAGAGCTATGTTGCACTGTTATTCAGACAAGTAACAACTTTGTCAGGGACGGGTGCTGTATTTGGTGTTATTTCTGTGGAATGTGCTGGTAGCACCAGAAGTGCTGCCATTATGTTACTGGACATATTTGTTAAGTCAGGAGGGCAGAGCTGGTAAATGGGGGTCAGTGCTCTGGCACCTTAGTTTGTTCATTTTGTTCTGAGCTCATGTCTAGATTGCAGGAGCTGGTTGTTGGATGGTACAGAGGACTAGCACCAAGCAAAAGAAAATAATCTGAAGCAGTTTATTGAACAGTTTCTGGGTGCAGAAGCTATTTTGTACCCATTACTTTTATTTTTCCATCAGCAGAGTTAGTACTGTATGTATGCAGCTGTGGAGAAAAATAATTCAATGTTGTTTATGCAAAGGTCAGATTTTATTTCCCAGAAAAACAAAGGAACAGGTATTGTACGTACTTAGATGGCCAACTGAAAGCAGGCATCTGTCTTTCAGGCAGCTATGAAACATTTGACCCAGCTACTGTCAGAGGACCTGAGAAAAGAAATCTATGAACTTTGGGAGGTAAGCATAAAGCACTTGATGCATACATTATTACTGATAATAGGATCAATCTATTGTCTTATTTTCATGTTGCTTACTGAAGTTCATAATCTTTGTTCTAAAAACTTTACAGTGAGATGGGTTTGGAATTTTGGGAGGGAGTAATGTTTGTTTATATGGCAGCAACTTTCTGAACTTTCATAAAGGAAACAAAATAATTAGGTATAATGACCCTCATTGTGCTCGTTATACCTATGTATCCCCACTGCATTTGAAGGATTGATTTACTCAGCTGAGGGAGGGATTTTGCTTGTATATTTACCTGGTCAGTGCTATTCTATACACAGCATAACCTTGAAAAGGACTGTGGCTTTAACTTTGACAGTTTCTTGAATGAGAATTTCAACTAAATGAAAATAATAGATGGTAGTTCAAATTAACATATACATAAAAATGAAAAATAATGACATGGACCTGAAAATATCTTCTCTTTAGACTGGGGGGGGATCTGTTAGGATATTGATCTGATAGGTTATTGTGATCTTGCAAAGAGACCTCTTGCTTTTTGGATAAGATCTTGTATTAACTGCAAATTAAAAAAACAACAACAAAAACCCTGCTTTCCCCAAAAGTTCGTGGTGCTATAAAAAACAAATTATTTTCTCCAACATGTCTTTCCATTGTATAGTAACTTTCCCTCACCAGTTATTTGCAAACTGTTGTATATTTTACTGTAAATAGGTGGCTGTGCAGTCCCTCACCTCTGATACTGACATTCTTATCTGTTCCACTGGCATTGTATTTAAATAAGTTGCGGGATAGTTGTAGACAAATTCTGCCCTCAGTTATGTCTTCCTTGGCTTTAATGGATTGTTGTGTTGGAACGTAACTTTAAAAATCCAGGTCTGCTGTCAATTAAACCAAGTTTAAAACAGCAAATCAGAGAAAACTATAATGTCTATTCCCTGTATAGCAGAGAGGCAGGAGGTTTATTACAGGTAAGAGTTGAACTGTATCACAGGATTCCTTGTGTATTTTATTTTTCCTTAGCTCCTGTAAAAGCTGGGACAGGAGTGGATTTCCCATTGCCTACAGCCCTATTACAGTACACATTAGCTTTTTACCTTTCTCATTAAATACCATCATAGATACACCACTAGGAACTAAAAAGAGTGTATCAAACAAAAATAAACATCTTCAGGGTTTCCTGCACAGGAGTATCAGAAACAAAAACAAACATCTTCAGGGTTTCCTGCACAGGAGTGGCAGTGTATCACACTAAAAGTATACACAAACCCAGCTTTCACTGCTGCTAAGCAGCTAGTTCTATTAAAATTGCTGAAATATTCAATCAGAATTCTGCTCTGTTACGTAAAAATTATACCATTGATTTTAGCATTCCCTATAGAAAGTGAGAACGAATTAGCACAGATTTGCGCTGGGGATAGGAAGGACAGAGTCTGTAGATTCTCACACTGACAATACAGCTGGCTCCTGACTTTGATGTCCTTGAGCTGACTGTCACTTGTTTCAAGTGGATGGATGGTTTTGAAGTGTGAAGAAAGGTATAAGAGGTAAATGGGGACATTAGCACATTTCCCCCCTCTCTGCATTAGCTTTAATTTTGTGTGTGTACAACTACAGTAATCTTAAGTCAATATCTCCAATTTGTTTTAAGAAACCAGTTACTGGCTCTAAGCAGGATGGGGAAATTGTGCAGAATCTCAGCTAAATGTGAAGAATTACATTTACAGTCTGGTACAATGTTTCATTAAAATAAACCAATGTGGAATATGAGCTGTCCCTGTTGTGCTATGTGCATGAGAAGGCAAGTGTAAAATTCTCAATAGATCAATCTGCTACCCATGCTTAATGTATTGTACTGAAGCAGACGTTTCTGAGCAAGACAATGTCATGATAAGTTTTCATTTATAATGCTGCCAAATAAAATGTGAACTTTACCAACAAACAGAATGGGTAAAATGCAGAACATGAAAACAGTAGAATTAAATATTCATGAAAATAAGAGGCAGTGTTGAACAGCATTTTAAATTAAAATGCAAATTGAAGAAAAACCCTAAACTTGGTGACATGAAATCTTCAAATTAACTAATAATTAAAGCTTAATTGAAATTTCAAAATACAATTTAAATTCGAATTTAATTGCTATCAAAATCCAGATCCCTGAATTTCAAACCTAGAGCAAAGACCATAATAAATTAATAGATTTTTAGTAATGTGTCACACATCCAGGTAAGTATGACAAATTCATTATCTGAACACAACTGTGCTGGAACTACAAATTAGGATTTTGCCAGGCATGACAGATCCACTATTATCTTATAAAAAGGCAGAAGGTCATGTATATTAATCAATGTTAATGCTTCCCACATCATGGGAACTAAAAGTCCTGTTCTAGGAGTTGAGTTTCAACAGTAGCCGAGTTTCCTCTGTTTCAAGGCTCTGCCAAATAGGCAAATTTCTGTGCTCAGTAGACAAAATTCTGCCTTCGCTTTTGCACAGCTCTTATCAAAATCAGTGGCAGTTGTTGCATGGCAACAGACAGGCAGAACAGGGGCGGGAGGGGGGAAGGAGAGAGACAAAATCAAATCAGTATGTTAGATGCCTGTATACAAATGCAAGAAGTATGGGAAATAAGCAGGAAGATCTTGACGTGCTCACACACACACACACACACACAACTATGACATAGTTGGTTTCACAGAGAACTGCTAGGATAATGCACGATTGGAATATTGGTATAGAAGGGTACAGCTTGCTCAGGAGGAACGGGAAGGGGGAAAGGGAGAAGGTGTTGCCTTATATTAAAAATGAATACATTGGACGGAGGTTGAGATGGACATTGGAGACGGACTTGTTGAGAGTTGCTGGGTTAAGTCAAAAGGGAAAAAAAGCAAGGGTGATGTCATGTTAGTGGTCTACTACAGGCTACCTATCCAGGCAGAAAAGGTGGATGAGGCACTTTTTTTTAAAAAAAAAACGAAAACAACTAACAGTCATTCGAAGCACAGAATTTGGTGGTAATGGGGGACTTCAACTATCCAGACATATGTTGGGAAACTCACACTGCAGGGCACAGATCACCCGATAAGTTTTCACTGCATTGGAGACCATTTTTTATTTCAGAAGGTTGAGAAAGCTACTGGGGGGAGGGGGAGAGAAGCTGTTCTAGATTTGCTTTTAACAAATAGAGAGGAACTGATTGAAAGTGGAAGGCCAGTTGGGTGACAGGGTCATGAAATCAGAGTTCATGACCCTGTTATTTTTTCTCCCTCTTCAGAGTTCATTTCAGAGTTCACTGAAATATGAAATTTCTTGTGCAGGCACATGGTCCGTATATCCCAAAATAGCTGCCCTGTGCAGATCCCAAATATTAATGGGATCACATTTTGGGCCCAGATAATTTTCATCCAAAAATATTGAAGGAATAGGTACATGAAATTGCAAGACCAATATCAAGGATTTTACTGTATCTGTAAACCCTGGGTTTCTTTGAGAGCGCTCAGATTCAGCGTGTGCATAATAATTATCCCTGCTTAGTAAAGCACATATACTTGTTTCAGTTTCAATGGAACTTAATGTGCCAAAATGTTTTGCTGAATCTCAGACAAAGGTACAGGGTCTACTGTACTCTCTTGAATAGCTCCTTTACAGATGAAGAAAGTCTGTGTAAGAAAAAGCTTTTACTTTTGGCACTGTATTTTAGCATATGTGTGTTAGCATACCAAATCAAATCCCTCTCACTGCACATCTGTTCAGGAATATGAACACCAGTCTACAGCAGAAGCCAGATTTGTAAAAGAGCTGGATCAGTGTGAGATGATACTTCAAGCATCGGAATATGAAGAATTGGGAAAAATGCCTGGACGACTGCAAGACTTTTATGATTCAACTGCAGGTATGACATTAGATTTTTGTAAACAAACCCTTGTGGTTAGATACTATTCACTTCTGAATCACAAGCTAGTTTATAGATGAGACTTCTAAAGCCAGATCTCATCAATTAAAGAGAATTGTTGAAAACAGTTAACATTTATAGAACTGGGGTCTAGAATACTTATTCATATGCTTAAATTTAAGCCCGAGAGTTAGCTTCAGTGATTTTAATGGGTATACGCTCAGATTTAAAATTAAGCACATGCATTACTGTTCATAGGAACAAGGCTATAACATTTTCATCCTCAACTGTAGTTACTAGGTACAAAACCACAATTAGAAAAGTAATTAATTTATTGGATACTCTCTCTGTTTTATGCTGATTCCTATGTGAATAGTAGATGCAGACACAGCAACCCAGGATACTTTTTTTGAAAAAAAAAAATTGGTGCCAAGTGATTTTTTTTTTCTTTAGGCAGTTGTCTTCAGCGTTAAGCTACAACAGAGAGAAGATTCTGTGAATTCCAGTGGGGCCTGATTCTTGGATTTACTTAGGCACCTAACTGCTACTTTCATTTTTGTGAATCTAGCCTTGAGTCCCCTTTATGAAACTGTGTAAAGGGGATGTGAAAGTAGGAATAAATGATTGGGCAACAAAATGACAAATGAAATTTAATGTTGATAAAGTAATGCACGTTAGGAAAAAATAGTCCCAAATATACATACAATATGATGGAGACTTATTTGGCTACAACTACTCAGAGTTCAGGAGTCATGATGGTTAGTTCTCTGAAAACATGCAAACAATGTTAGGAATAAATTAAAAAGGGACAGAGAATCTTATTGCCTCTATATAAAACCATGGTACTCCCGCGTCTTGAATACTACATACAAATGTGGTCGCCTCATCAAAAGAGATATATTGGCATTGGAAAAAGTTCAGAAGAGAGCAACAAAAATGATTAGGGGTTTGGAATTGGTCCCATATGAAGAGAGATTAAAAAGATTGCAACTTTTTAGCTTAGAAAAGAGGAGACTAGGGGAGGTGGGTATGATAGAGGTGTATAAAATCATGACTGATGCGGAAAAAGTGAAAAGGAAAAGTTATTTACTTATTCCCATAATGTATGAATGAGGAGTCAAATGAAATCAATAGGCAGCAGGTTTAAAACAAAAGGAAGTTTTTCTTCACACAGTGCAGTGTCAACCTCTGGAATGCCTTGCAAGAGGTGGTTAGGACTGTCAATGGTTATTAGCCAGGATGGGTGATGAGAGAGATTGCTTTAAGATTCCCTGTTCTGTTCACTCCCTCTGTGGCATCTGGCATTAGCCACTGTCAGAAGACAGGATACTGGGTTAGATGAACCTTTGATCTGACCCAGTGTGGCTGTTCTAAAGTTTCTTTCCTTTGTAAGAGCACTATGAAAGTCTTTGTGAATGAGAACCAAGCCCATTGAACAAGTTGCTTCAGATGTGGTTGTATTGTGTTAAATTCCCTTCTCTATTTTCCCCTAATACGCAAAGATTAAGTAAAATTAACAATATTAAATACAGTTTAACATGACTGAAGGGCTACGTTCAGAGACAAAATAGTGCCAGTTCTTGTTTTCCAAGACAAGTTCCATCTTCTACACACAGGCTACATCTACACTGCAGGCTTCTTGCGCAAGAGTTCTTGTGCAAAAGGTCTTCTGCAAGAGTGTCCATGGCAGCGTGGACGCTCTCTTGCGCAAGAAAGCTCTTGCGGCTATTTTAGCCGTAGGGCTTTCTTGCACAAGAAGGCCGTGCCGCGCATCCACACTGTCCTCTTGCACAAGAGCTCTTGCGCAAGAGCGCTTACACCTGTTAGAAAAGAGCGTAGCTCTTGCACAAGAAGCCTTCTCCTACCACGCTTTACTGTAAATCTTCTTGCGCAAGAGTGGGCGGGCAGTGTGGACGCTCTGTGGAAGAACGGCCGTTCTTGCGCAATAACCCACCGCGGAAAGCTCCCTTCTTCCCCAATTGACTATAGAGTGATTCAGTGCCCCCTGAAGAGGTGAACATCAGAAATAAATAGTTGAAAGTTTAAGTGATAACTGTATCCCTAGCTGTCATCTTGCTCATGTTCCTGCTTCCAAATTGCGTGAATCTAGAGATGCTAACCCTCACCAGTGGAAGCAGCAGGTTGATCTGGTGTTTCTTTTCAGAAATAAGATTCTTATAGACACAGATTTTGCACAAGCTTTAATTTAATCCTTTGTTGCCAAGCTTCTACCCAGCTTCAGAAAACTTCCTGCACACAATGTTTTCTTGGCAACATATCATGCTTGTTAACTTTTGCACCCCATTATGTCTCCAGTTCAGGAAAAAATATCCAGGTGCTTATGCCCATCACAATTCATAGATTCCAGAGCAAGAAGGGTAATAGCCCTAGTAAATTGTTACAATGGTTGATTACCCTGTGTATCTTAGTGCTAAGTATGAGTTTGTCTGCCTTAAACGTCTAATCTGGATCGTGGTGCTGGCCTTTAAGGGAAGACCTGGTCACCTGTAAGAATAAATATTTAACCGTCTCTTAAGCTAAAAAGTATGATTAATGGCTTGGAAAACATGCCTCCTCCTAGTGACACTCAGTGAACTTAATCTGTGGAGTTTATCAGCTGTTCTTGTACAGCAAGCACCAGAACTGGATACACTTGTCCAGTAGCACCAGTGCCAGCTCTAGAGGTTGAGATGGAATTGAGTACATCTCCCTGCAAACATGAGCTTCAAGTTTAAGTAACATCCTGAATCAGGGTTCATAGCATGAATTTTGTATTCAGGACCTTCCTCCAAATAGTATATTGAACAGGGTGTACTCTATTCAACAATGCACCCAAGCATTTATTCAATTACTCTTTTCAAAACTATAGGTATAGGCCAGAAATCTCATTTAGTGTTCACCATTAAAGGGAGAATATATCACAAAAAACTATTAATACATAATAGTTTGTATTGTACTAATTTGTTACATTTCTACCCAGTGACTTAGGTTTTTTTTCTCCTGCCAGGAAAGCTTCAGAAAACTTCCTGTACACAATGTTTTCTTGGCAACATATCATGTATCATGCTTGTTAACTTTTGCACCCCATTATGTCTCCAGTTCAAGTTTAAGTAACATCCTGAATCAGGGTTCATAGCATGAATTTTGTATTCAGGACCTTCCTCCAAATAGTATATTGAACAGGGTGTACTCTATTCAACAATGCACCCAAGCATTTATTCAATTACTCTTTTCAAAACTATAGGTATAGGCCAGAAATCTCATTTAGTGTCCACCATTAAAGGGAGAATATCACAAAAAACTATTAATACATAGTTTGTATTGTACTAATTTGTTACACAAATTGAAATAAAAGCATGGTAATGACTTTTTTTTCATTTTACAGGAAAATTTAATCACCCAGAAGTAGTCCAGCTTGTGTCTTCCATTAACACAGAGAGAAATAGAAAAATAGCTGCCACAACAAGTGAACCACACTCTTAAGGCATTTCTTTATAACTCAAATAAAATCACTAACTTTTCTCCTCCCATCAAGTGCTGAGAATCCATGGAAAAATATATCAGCGGTCCCTTATCTATGGGATACTAGAGATCAAACAGCGTACATAGGGCTTTGTCTACCTGTATACTATTTAATTTTCATAGTCACTTGCCTGACCAATTTTAGTTCATTATGAAATACAGTAGAACTTCAAAGATATAATAGCAGAGTTATGGATTGACCAGACGCCATGTGAACATGAAAGTAGCCAGTTAGGTAGGTGTAGGCACATCTGGGCTACCCATCCCCACCCCCACAGTCAGGTTACCCACTTCTAGCTAGATATTGAAGATGCTGAGATTTGCAGGCGAAGATATGAACCACCACTGCCATCCCAAAGCAGCTGGACCGGGAACAGAATTGGGGTTCCAGTAGCTTTCCTGGAAGCTCTTTTGGTATTAATAAACTTATTTGGCATTGCCCAGGTCCTTCAGGCAGGGGGTGGGGGAGATGCAGTGCAGGAGCATGAGTGAGGGTGCGAGGGGCCTCTCTCCCCCTTCCCCAGTGCTGTAGCCAAGGGCTGGGTGGGGTACTTACCCCATGTGCTGTCAGGCAAGATGGCAGCTTCCCCCAGTGGACACACTGCAAGATAGCCGTCCTCTACAAGCACTCTGCCTTCAGTGGCCACTTCCAGTATCCTGTCCCTCCAAACAGCAGTCTCTTTCCCAGGGCTTCCAGTTGTCCTGGCACAATCAAACCCTGACCTTAGGAGAAGAGGCAGCTACATATCAAATTTGGTGGTCCTAGTTCTTACTGCTCAGGAGGAATTCTTGAACAGACACCCTCCCCCTCATATATAGAGAGCCAGTGGCATCAATTCTGCTGGGAATAAGGTAACTTTTTACAAGTAACAGCCACCAAATACCTTCCAAGGTGGGCTGGTGCTTTTGCCCCCACTGCTGCAGTGTCTGTGTTGACACTATTAAAAAGTGCAGGGGATAGTATAAAACTAATAGCAGCATTCATAGACCAACCTCGGTGTGACCTTAATGAACTTAGCCAAAAAAAGAAATGGTCAGAAGCATAATTTTCAAATAACTCATTTATTAGTAAACTATTTACTATGGAATATGGCCATGTAACATTTCTGTGTCAGCCATTTTCAGATCACCTTTCAACAACACGATGGTATTTTTGATTGTTGGGATGTTACAGGTTTTTTTTAATAGCTGGAAAAAATATTTGTTCTCTCTTCTATATTCGCCTCCAGTGGTCAGGGATCCTGCACGGACAATTTTAGGCAAGGTATATTCAGCGTGCTACATATTTTTGATTATGTAGGTTTGAGAGAAGCCTCTTATAGTTTGTGAGTGCCAAGGGAACTCCACCAGTTTTAGATTAGATAAGGTGGATGCACACTTTGTAGCCAGTCAGCAGCAACAATTCTCCCTCCCCCCACCCTTCCCAAAAAACAATTTAGCCTCTATCCAGAGTGAATCAGAAGGAATTATGTCATTACAGCCGAAGTACTAAAGCCAATTCTGAAGCAGCTCATTGCATTAGATTGCATCAGAAAAAGAGGCGTGTCTCATTGAAACTGTTTCTCTCCCACCAGACAAGCCTCTCAATGACTGGGAAAGAAGGAAAAATATCCAATTGAGACTGCAGTAAAACAGGAAGCACAGGTATATAAAATAACCTTAGCTTCCTAAAGGCACATCGCTATGATAAATGCATTGCACTTAAAGGAATAATGCAACTTCACTCCAGGCAGAAGGCCCATATTAGTATGACCATGTCTGTGTGTACTTGTGTTGCACTGCAAATCTTAGACTTCCTTTTTAAAAATCTGGTGGATTATTTATTTGTTGTTAACATCTGGAATGCTTGGCATTGACAATATTCATATAGATGTCACCATTCCTTTAAGAGTTAGGAAGAAAGGCTGGAAAGATGTGGATTTTCAACACTATGTTTATACACAAGCTTTGGATAAAAAAAAAATGCAGTTCTAGAAGAACTTTTGCACATT